TGAACCAAAATTGCCATGCCCCTAGGACAACCCACTCGCTACAAACTAATCTACTCCAAAATAAAAAAAACACAACTGCAACGACAACAACACCACAAAACAACTGAACATGCGCACTGGCGCAAACTCCCCGGCACGCGCGCACCCGCCGCCCCTCCCCCCCCCCCGGCGACACACACGCGCGCGCGGCGGAAACTCCCCGCCACGCGCACACCCGCCGCCCCTAACCCCCCCCCCCGCGGCACACGCGCGCGCGTCGGAAACTCCCCGCCACGCGCGCACCCGCCGCCCCTGCCCCCCCCCCGCGGCACACACGCGCGCGCGGCGAACTGAGCATGCGCTCTGGCGCAAACTCCCGACGCGCGCGCACACATGGCCCCTCACCCTCCCCCCCCCCCCGCGCGGCACACACACACGCACAGGTGCGGCCCCTCAACCCCCGGCGCGGCACACACACACACACCCGCGCGCGTGCCCCCTCACCCCCCGGCACACACACGCACGCGCGCCCCCCCTCACCCCCCCGCGCGGCACACACACGCGCGCGCGTGTGCCCCCTCCCCCCCCCGGCGCGGCACACACACACACACACGCGCGCCCCCCCACCCCCCCCGGCTACACACGCGCGCGCCCCCCTCACCCCCCCGCGCGGCACACACACACGCGCGCGCGTGCCCCCCCTCTCCCCCCCGGCACACACACCACACACGCGCCCCTCACCTAGGCACACACGCACGCACGCTGGCTCACCTTACCCCGCCACGCCCCCTTCTAAACCCCACCCCCCACCCCTCCTCCCTCTTACCCTTCTCACCTTACCTCCAAGCCACGCCCCCTTCTAAACCCATCCCCCTCCCCTCCTCCCTCTTACCCTTCTCACCTTACCTCCACGCCACGCCCCCTTCTAAACCCATCCCCCTCCCCTCCTCCCTCTTACCCTTCTCACCTTACCTCCAAGCCACGCCCCCTTCTAAACCCATCCCCCTCCCCTCCTCCCTCTTACCCTTCTCACCTTACCTCCAAGCCACGCCCCCTTCTAAACCCATCCCCCTCCCCTCCTCCCTCTTACCCTTCTCACCTTACCTCCAAGCCACGCCCCCTTCTAAACCCATCCCCCCTCCCCTCCTCCCTCCTCACCTTACCTCCAAGCCACGCCCCCTCTAAACCCATCCCCCCTCCCCTCCTCCCTCTTCCCCTTCTCACCTTACCTCCAAGCCACGCCCCCTTCTAAACCCATCCCCCTCCCCTCCTCCCTCTTACCCTTCTCACCTTACCTCCAAGCCACGCCCCCTTCTAAACCCATCCCCCTCCCCTCCTCCCTCTTACCCTTCTCACCTTACCTCCAAGCCACGCCCCCTTCTAAACCCATCCTCTCTCCCCTCCTCCCTCTTACCCCTCACCTTACCTCCAAGCCACGCCCCCTTCTAAACCCATCCCCCCTCCCCTCCTCCCTCTACCCTCCTCACGTTACCTCCAAGCCACGCCCCCTTCTAATCTGTCAAGGAAGAAAGGAGAGAAAGAGGGAGGGAAAGAAAGAAGGAAGGAAAGAATGAGGTAGAAAAGGAAGAAAGGAGAGAAAGAGGGAGGGAAAGAAAAAGGGGGAGGAAGGAAAGTTAAAGAAGGAAGGAGAGAAGGAAAGAAAAAAGGGAAAGAAGGAAGGAAAGAAGGAGCGAAGGAAGGGGGGAAGATGTAGAGAAAGAGGGAGGGAAGGAAAGATGGAAAGAGAGAAGGAAGAAAAGAGAGACTGCAGAAGAGAAAAAGGAAGAAGGAAGGAAAGGGAGCGAAGGAAGGGGATAAGATGTAGAGAAAGAGGGAGGGAAAGAAAGGATGAAAGACAGAAGGAAGAAAAGAGAGACAGCAGAAGAGAAAGAAAAAGGGGGAAGGAAGGAAAGCGATAGAGAAGAAAGGAAGGAGAGAAGGAAAGACGGGAAGGAAGGAAGGACGGAAGGAAGGAAGGAGGGGGAAAGAAGGGGAGATAGGGGGAAGGTTGGCCACAGCAACGCGTGGCGGGTACAGCTAGTATATATATACACACATATGCATGGGGTATTGGGGTAATGATACAAAAGTTTGCTAGGCTAGACCCTCTTTCACTCAGACTCAGCCCCCCCGAAACTAAGCCCCCCTCAAACCCTCCCTGAAAATTTTTTAGCGCCCCCCCCCGAAACGAAATCCTGGCTACGGGCCTGGTTAGAAGGGGATTGATTTTGGCATTTGGGAGTTGTAGTTGCTGGGATTTATAGTTCACCTACAATCAAAGAGCATTCTGAACTCCACCAATGATGGAATCGAACCAAACGTGCCACGCAGAATCCCCATGACCAATAGAAAATATTGTGTTTTCTGATGCTCTGTAGGGACCCCTCTGACACCCCCTCAAGATCCCCCCCCCATGGGTCCCCAGGTTGAGAAATGCTGATCTACACTGTCTCTTCCCTTTGGACTTTTTTAAGATTCTTCTTGGCTGTTCCTCTAAAGATCTAGCACAGACTGAGTGACATTTCATTCAGCTGACAGACTTACCATTCCCTTGGTTGTCATCTGTCCAGATTATATGGCAAATGGCATAATATGAAATCATAGAAATGAATGAATGAGCTGTCCATGCCGATTGGCCTTATCTCTGTGATTCTCAAAGCACCTCTTTAAACAAGAGCGACACTACTGCTGAGATGAAATTCGGATTCCAACCCTTCTTCAAATGGAAATGAACAGCTGTCAAATATTGTCACTCCTGCTTTTGCTGTCTGACTAGGAGGTCACCTTGAGGCACAACTTGTCTCTTCTTTGTACCTTCGTAGAACTTCTCCACATAGATTTTGCTGCATATGCAAGGATTCCTCACAAGTCATGGACACCTCAGGCTGACTCATCCTGGATGCCTGAAGGACCAGTTATCTGATGTATGAGAAGCAGAATGCGTAGTCCTGAGGCAGTTAGGCTGTAGTGTTCACTTGCAGCTTTTCCTGAATTGCTATTCACTTGCTGCATGGGATTTTCCGATTCCTATGGCTTGGAGTGAATCCAAGGTGCTCACAAAATTGGCACCAGCAGCTGCTTCTTATACTTAACTAAACATTCAGAATTAGGATAGGTGTTGGCAAGAATATCACTCATTTGGGATTTGGTTAGCATTTTTTAATGAGGTCTTTCTCTGCCCCCTTCACCCTCCTTTTCATCTTGTTGTGTGCCTTGAATTCATTACCGATCGAAGACAACCTCAAACAACCTATCACGGGGTGATTTTGGTAAGATTTCTTCAGATTTGCCTTTGCATTTCTTTGGGGTTGACCTCAGGAGGTGAGTTGCCCAAGATTGGCCAGTGGGTTTCTATAGATGAGACAGCGATTCAAACCCTATTTCCAGTGTTGTAGTCCAGTGTTCAAAACATGACATCACACTGGCTCCCACCCTTCACTACTTCCCACAACATTATCCATGCTAGGTTTCAAAACCAGTAGTTCCAACCTTTGGCCTCCTGATGTTGAGACCTCAGCTCCAGGAAGTTCCAGCTAGCTTGGCCAACTCCAAGGAGTTCTAGAAACTGAGGACCCAAACATCTGGAGGACCAGAGGTTGGGAATCATAGAATCAGAGAGTTGGAAGACACCTCATGAGCCATCCAGTCCAACCCCCTGCCAAAAAGCAGGGAAATTGCATTCAAAGCACCCCTGACAGATGGCCATCCAGCCTCTGTTCAAAAGCTTCCAAACAAGGAACCTCCACTACACTCAGCGGCAGAAAGTTCCACTGCTGAATGGCTCTCACAGTCAGGAACTTCTTCCTCATGTTCAGATGGAATCTCCTTTCTTGTAGTTTGAAGCCATTCTTCTATTGCATCCTAGTCTCCAGGGCATGTCTTAGTCTCATAGGGCTTGTTCTCCAGACCCTTGATCATTTTAGTCGCCCTCCTCTGGACATATTCCAGCTTGTCAATCTCTCTATTGTTGTAAACAATTATTAAGAGTCCCCTTGTTTAGGCAGAATGCAAGTGATAAAAAATTTGCAGGATTTTTCGGAGGAAGTGCTGATGGAATCATTCCAGGAGCTGCATGTGATGTCTGTAGACAGTCTACATCTCGCAAGCATATAGAGGACAATAGCTTTATAAACAAGCACCTTGGTATCCCTATGGATGTCCCAATCCTCAAACACTCTCTGCTTCATTCAGAAAAAAAAGCTGCACTTGCAGAGCTCAGGCAGTGTTGTATTTCAGTGTCAATGTTGACTTTGGTGGAGAGGTGGCTGCCAAGGGAGCGGAAATGGTCAACATTTTCTAATGTTACCGCATTAAGCTGTATTTCTGGCATTGGAGAGGGATTGGCTGGTGACTGCTGGAAGACTGCTTTGGTTTTCCCCATGTTCAATGACAGGCCAAGCTTCTTGTATGCTTCTGCGAAGGTGTTGAGTGGCTTGTAGGTCTTCTTCTGAATGCGCACAGACGACAATGTCATCAGCATACTGGAATTCTATGACAGATGTTGTTATAACCTTGGTTTTGACTTTCAGTCTGCCGAGGTTAAATAGTTTGCCATCTGTCCGATAGATGATTTTCTCTCCGGTGGGAAGCTTCCCATCAACAAGATGAAGTATCATAGTGATGAAGCTGGAAAATAAGGTTGGGGCAATAACACATCCTGTTTGACACCTGATTCCACCTTAAATGGGTCACCTTCTCATCATATCCTGAAATTGGCATCTAACAGATTTTTGGTCTGTATGCTTTCATTCTCTTTAGGGAATTTGCTTAAACGATGACACCAGGATCAAGATGGGGGCTCTATTCCTTTCATTACTTGACTTGCCCTTAGAGCAGGCATAGGCAAACTTTGACCCTCCAGGTGTTTTGGACTTCAGCTCCCACATTCTTAACAGCCTTTTTCTTATGTTGAATGTGCAAGCCTCGTTCAATCTTGAAAATTTCCCTTATGCATGACTGCTTTTTGATTTTCACCGTTTTGAAAACCACGATGCCCAAGAGTAAACGCTGGGTGGAAATGATTGTATGAATCTGCAACAAAGCTTTATTTAACAAAAAGATGCCACCACCATATCGTCAAAACATCGGTGTGTGTTACAAATGCCTTCTGACGGGGGAATCCCCACCCCCTCCCTCCCCACCCCAAAATGGACAACATCAAAATTAAGGCAGGGTATTCTTCTGGGATTTTTTTTTTCATGCGAGAGCGTACTCAAATGTCCCCTTATCCAGCCCCTCGACCTCATCCTCCCATGTGGACGATGGCATACTGCTATAAGGGTCTAATAGGATTTTGAAGCATCTTATGATCAGCAGTCCTAAGAAGACACACAGGATCCCTACGAAGGCAAAGCCGGTTTTTTGCTCCAGAGTCAGGGGAAAGGTGGACACCTCGTTGACACTCATGCTCACTGACACGTTATTGCAGAAGTTACTGCTCATCGCTGGGCTTCACATCCTGCTGAGACTTCAGGGTTTCTTCTTCTTCACCTAGGAACAAAAGTAGGATAGACATTTTTGTTACTGATTAGTCCTTTGACCATATCAACAGCAAAAGACAGAAGACAAGTATACAAAGACACAACAAAAACACAAATCTGCATCCCAACACAACACTCCTGTAATAGTTAGCTAGGATATAGTTTGAGTTGCAGTTGGTTCCCCACATTTGTGGATCCCAATTTCACAGATTTTATTATTTGTGGGCTTACCATATTAACTTGGGTATCCGGCATTGACCGGGTTATTAGAAGATGTCATTTTTTTATTTTAAAAAATGCATCAGGTTGTGGGTGTAGTCAGAGGAGGCCCTAGGCAATTTTCAACGGTAAGCAGACAGTATTTTGGCGCCCCCCCCCCAACCAATCACTGATATATATTTTCTGTTTGTCGTGGGAGTTCTGTGTGCCATATTTGGTTCAATTCCATCATTGGTGGAGTTCAGAATGCTCTTTGATTGTAGGTGAACTATACATCCCAGTAACTACAACTCGCGTATGTCAAGGTCTATTTTCCCCCAAGAGTGCCTCAAGAGCGCCCCTGGGCAAAATCAACTATACTGCAAATGCTTACTTTGCGTAATGGGTTGAGCCGCCCCTGGGTGTAGTACAACTCATATGAGAAAACACATGAGAAAACACATCCAGAAAATCAAATTGTCTGATTTTTAATGAATTTATTTGCAAATTATGGTGGAAAATAAGTATGCGGGGAAGCTAATTTAACTAATTTATGATGCCATAAAAATCTCCAGAAGCGTGCAAAAGAATGAGGAAGTACTCCATTAGTGTCACAAGTGGACAGTGAAGCGACAGCTCCCCCGGTGGCTGGAATTTGAGCATACCCTCATGAAGTTGGAATGTTAAATACTTAGCCTCTGTGTCTTTGTCTATATATGTTGTATGTCTAAATGTCATTGAATGTTTACAATGTATATGTGCATTATAATCCACCCTGAGTCCCCTGTGGGGGGTGAGAAGGGAGGAATACAAATACTTAAATAATAATAAAATAATATTAATAATGTCATAAAAAACCACCTGGAACTCCATCAATACTTAAAGTTTGTCATGCTTGACAAATTTGCTTTAAATGCATTATCGCTAGGGTTCAGTATGCTCTCCAGCTTCAGGATGAATTACGACTCTCACCATTAAGGGTCAGTCCTGTCAAATCCCTCCAGTACATTCAGTTGGTCATGGGGTTTCTGTGTGCCAAGTTAGGTCCAGTGTCATCGTTGGTAGGGTCTAGAGTGCTCTTTGATTGCAGGTGAACTATAAATTCCACTAATTACAATGGCTATAAATCAAGGTGAATTCCTCCAAAACCTCTCCAATATTTTTCTTAGGTCATGGGGATTCTGTGTGCCAAATGTGGCCCAGTTCCAATGTCAGTGGGGGTCACAGTGCTCTGACTTGATGCAGTGTGAACTACAACTTCCATCACATGGAGTCAATCCCCTAGACTCCTCCAGTATATTAGTTGCTGATTAGTTCTGCACTGTTTGTTGTGCGGACAGAGTTGAAAGGAGTAGGAAAGGGTTAAGGGAGAGGCAGTGGGCAGGATCATGTAAATTCCACACCAATGGAGAGAGTAAGAAACACTGGGATGTCTGTGGTGGAGGAAATACATAAAATCTAGGAGGAAATTGTCTCTGAATGAAAGTATTCCTTGGGTGGTGGGCAGTATGGTGTTTGGGGAGGACATTGGCAGGGGTTGGGTTACATGTTTATGGTGCTCGCTATAACCTGAAATGTCATTGGAAGGAGGGCTTTTGGTGGTTCTTCAGTACTGTGGATTAAAGCTGTCTGTGGAAGTGGGAGCCTGTGAAAGTGGGTACTCCAGCCACATACATACATATTTTCACTTTTATTAAGTATATAGAGTTACTTGAATTTAATGCGCCATTGAATCTAACGTGTACCTCTAGTTTCAAAACCCTGAAACCAAAAAAAGTATTTGCTGTCAAATGTAATGCGCAGCAGCAAAAAGTGGACCCTTTGTAATTTGGCCAAAAAAATGTGGCACCTTTTTAGAATTCTTTCAAAACAAAATGTTAGAACACCAAAGAAAACCTTTGGGTGCATCTTTGCTGTAGAATAAAATCAACTCCAACTGCTTTGGTTCAGTGCTATGGAGTCATGGGGGTCTTGAGCAGGCATGGGCAAACTTCAGCTCTCCCGGCGTTTTGGACTTCAACTCCCACAATTCCTAAAAGCCTCAGGCCCTTAAGTGGCTGAGGGGGAAAAGGAAGGAGCCTGAGGCTGTTAGGAATTGTGGGAGTAGAAGTCCAAAGCACCTGGAGGGCCAAAGTTTGCCCATGCCTGGTCTTGAGCCTTCTCTGCCAAAGAATGCTCACTGTCATGTATTATGTTCTGCAGTTGATGGTGGTTGGTGATGGAAGGGTTAATATTAAGTCTTAGTTCTAAAGGGTTGAGTAATCTGTATGTAAGAGTTCTTGGGTGAAAGCAATTAAGGGTGGAGGTATGCAAGAGATGGGTTGCAGCTGCATGCTTCTGGATATAAGGAGCTAGCCTTGGGATTGATCCTCAGGAGAAAAGTATTTGTTTTATCTTGGTGGTAGATGCTGCTGATTTCCCCCCAGGCTTGTGGATTTTCAGTGTCCTGACCTGTCTCCTGAACCTTTGGAATCCTGGAACCTTTACTCTTTGGACTGGCTTTTGACTACAGTATAGGCTCTTGATCCCTGAACTTTGTTTATTGAACTCTTGGCGTTTGACCACTGGACTGGACCTTTTGACTATGGAGTTATCTTGAACCTGCAACAGTGTTTGCTGTTTTTGTTTTGTATTATGGACTATTAAAACAGCCAGAAAGTAAGTGCTGTTTTAATTAAATTGTTTAACACAAACTGAAAGTTTGGTTCATCTCTGCCTAAATAAGGCAGAGCCCTGGCAACGTGACAGAATAATTTCCCCCCGAAGATCAGTCCCAAGGCTAACTCCTTATATCCAGAAGTACCCAGCTGCAAGGAGGAGGACGACTAAAATGATCAAGGGCCTGGAGAACGAGCCCTATGAGGAGCAGCTGAAAGAACTGGGCATGTTTAGCCTGAAGAAGAGAAGGCTGAGAGGAGACATGATAGCCATGTATAAATATGTGAGAGGAAGTCACAGGGAGGAGGGAGCGAACTTGTTTTCTGCTTCCCTGGAGACTAGGATGCAGAACAATGGCTTCAAACAACAAGAAAGAAGATTCCATCTGAACATTAGGAGGAACTTCCTGACTGTGAGAGTTGTTCAGCAGTGGAACTCTCTGCCCAGGAGTGTGGTGGAGGCTCCTTCTTTGGAGGCTTTTAAACAGAGGCTGGATGGCCATCTGTCAGGGGTACTTTGAATGCAATATTCCTGCTTCTTGGCAGGATGGGGTTGGACTGGATGGCCCATGAGGTCTCTTCCAACTCTAGGATTCTATGATTCTATAAAACTGAAAATTGCTATCTTAAACCATGGCAGCCTTCTTAAGACCTGTTGGGTTTGGGTCCATACTTTGGTGGCAAAGTATGGAATTATAGGTGTCAGTTTCTCAACCCATTCTTTCCAGGGCTTGGCTAAACTCCTCCCAAGCTGGCCACTGGAGCAAAAGGAAGTTAAAACACTCACTGGATCTAACAATGGCCACTGGATTCTCATCAAGGGGCGAGAAGTATAAAATAATGTTTTGTTTTAGTTCAGCATACTTCATACTAAAGTAAAGGTAAAGGTTTCCTCTTGACATTATGTCGAGTCCCACTCTGGGGTGGTGGTGCTCATCTCCATTTCTAAGACGAAGAGCCGGCGTTGTCCGTAGACACCTCCAAAGTCATGTGGTCGGCATGACTGCAAGGAGCTCTCTTATTGACCTATTCACATTTGCATGTTTTTGAACTGCTAGGTTGGCGGAAGCTGGGGCTAACAGCGGGAGCTCACCCTGCTCCCCGGATTTGAACTGCTGCCCTTTCAGCCAGCAAGTTCAGCAGCTCATTGGTTCAGATGGGGCACAGCATGGTTAAAACAGAGAGATGAAACACAAGACTATTAATAAATACGTATTACATAATACTACCTGCATTCATGTAAGGCACACTTCCAGGCTTTCCTGAAGTTTGAACAGCTGGAGAGAGAGAGAGAGAAAAAAAGAGAGATGACATCAGAAGGTACTAAAATAGATTCGGTTTCCCCTCTGAAAGTATTCGGTTGTCACTAGGACGTGATTTGCATCCTAAAGTAGAAAGAAAGGCATCATAGCAAAATGAAAACAGATGTGAAGACAGGGGATATTGTATTAGTTTTAATAGATTAATATTGTATTAGTTTTAATAGTTTTTAATAACAATTAAGACTTATGCGCCAACTGCGACCGTACCTTGTGAAGGCGGATCTGGCCAGGGTGGTCCATATCTTAGTCACTTCTAGACTGGGTTACTGTAATGCATTCTATGTGGGGCTGCCCTTGAAAACGGCTCGGAAATTCTAGATGGTCCAACGGGTGGTAGCCAGGAGTGGTCAACCCCCCTGTTTAAGGAGCTCCACTGGCTGCCAATCATTTTCCAGACCCAATTCAAGGTTCAGGTTCTCACCTACAAAGCCCTGAACAGTTTGGGACCCGCCTACCTTCATGACCGCATCTCTGTATACGAACCCACATGATCTCTTCGATCATCTGGAGAGGCCCTGCTCTCGATCCCACCAACATCGCAAGCGCGATTGTTGGGGATGAGAGAGAGGGCCTTTTCGGTGGTGGCCCCTCGACTCTGGAACTCTCTTCCTAAGGACATCAGGCATGCCCCAACTTTGGCAGTCTTTAAGAGGAGCTTGAAGACGTGGTTGTTCCAGTGTGCCTTCCCAGAATAATGTTCCCATAGCACTTTGTCCTCCAATGCACTTGATACTGTTTTAAGTCTGCTTGTATGTTTCCACAAACCGCCCCATCACTCTTTTCGCCCATGTCCAGCATTATTTTTTAATTTTAATTACATTTGGCCTACCCATAGATTTTAAAGTATGTTGTCTTATTTGATAATGTTTATGTTATTGTTTTACTGTTTTGTTTTTTTAATTACCTATATTTTTATTGTTATTGCTTGTATTGTTGTATTTTGGGCTCGGCCTCATGTAAGCCCTTGGGGAGATGGTAGCAGGGTATAAATAAAGTATTATTATTATTATTATTATTATTATTATTATTATAGGAAGTTAACGACTCCAGGCATTTTATTCCAGTTCTATGGTCAAAACTTTTTTACACTGCAGTGTAGATGAGGCTTTGGCCATGGAAACTCACTGGATGCTCTTGGGCAAGTTAATACTCTCAAGCAAAGCACATCCATTGACACAACAGGTTTCCTCGTTGACATTAAGTCTAGTTGTGTCCAACTCTGGCGGGTGGCGCTCATCTTCAATTCTAAGCCAGAGAGCCGGCATTGTCCGTAGACACCTCCAAGCTCATGTGGCCGGCATGACTGCAACAATATAGTAATATATAATGCTAATATTGTGTTGTGCTAATAATATAATACATATTAAATTGGTAATAATATAATGTAATGCAATATAATGGTAATAATAATACAATAGAATAATTGTATATTATTTATTACATATATATAACTAATACTATTGCAGTGTAGTGGTATAGTACAATATAGTAATATATCATACTAATATTGTGCTATGCTAATAATTATATCTTGTATGTACATATAATGTTGATCATAATATTATAATACAATATAATACTAATAATGCAATATAATAAGTATATATTTTATATTACATGTAATATTACTAATAATAATGCAGTTAAGTGGTATAGTACAATTATATTAATATATAATAGCAATATTGTAGTATGCTAATAATTATATATTGCATGTACATATAATATTGATCATAATATTGTAATACAATATAATACTAATAATACAATATAATAATTATATATTTTATATTACATGCAATATTACTAATAATAATGCAGTTAAGCGGTATAGTACAATATAGTAATATATAATAGTAATATTGTGCAATGCTAATAATTATATATTGTATATACATATATTGATCATAATATTGTAATAAATATAATACTAATAATACAATATAATAAGTATATATTTTATACTACATGCAATATTACTAATAATAATAATAATAATAATGCAGTTATGTAGTATAGTACAATTATATTAATATATAATTGTAATATTGTGCTATGCTAATAATTATATATTGCATGTACATATAATATTGATCATAATATTGTAATACAATATAATACTAATAATACAATATAATAACTATATATTTTATATTACATGTAATGTTACTAATAATAATAATGCAGTACGGTGGTATATTAATATATAATAATATTGTGCTATGCTAATAAAATAATATATTGTATGTACATATAACTTGTAAGCCGCTCTGAGTCCCCTTCGGGGTGAGAAGGGCGGCATAGAAATGTTGCAAATAAATAAATAAAACCGCATTGTGGAACTAAAGGGCTCAAAAGAAATAATGGGATTTATAGCTTGGTGGGGCATCAATGCTTTTGGGCGGAGAAGGATAAAGAACCTGTAAAACTACAACTCCCATGATCCCATAGCATTGAGCCATGGTTTTCAAACTGTATTAATTTTACAGGGTTGAAGGACTCTAAGAGGAAGACAATGGAAAACCTCCTCTGAATAAATCTTGCCCAAACAACTCTAGAATAAGGTTGCCAACATGTGGGTGTAACAAAACCTTGCTCCAGTGATAGCCTAATCTACTTGCATACATCCCATATAGACTACTGCAATGTGCTCGACGCGGAGTTGCCTTTGAAGACTGTCTGCAAGCTTCAAATGGTCCAACGAATGACAGCCAGATTGCTAACAAGGAGTGTACAACTCCTCTGTTGCGCCAGCTCCACTGGCTGCCAGTTTGCTACCAGGCACAATTCAAAGTGCTGGCTTTAGCCTATAAAGCCCTAAACTGTTCTGGCCCAATTTACATGTTTGAATGCATCTCCCCTTATGAACCATCTAGGACTTTGAGATAGTCTGGGGATGCCCTTCTCTCGTTACCGCCTTTGTCACAAGTACGTTTGGTGGAGACGAGAGACAGGGCCTTCTCCGTGGTGGCCCCTCGGCTGTGGAACGCCCTCCCTAAAGATATTAGATTAGCCACCTCCCTTTTAACATTCGGGAAAAAAGTCAAGATGTGGCTTTTTGAACAAGCGTTTGCAAATGCAGAGTAACTGGCATAGGAAAATGGAACGACAACAATGAGTCCGGACAAAGTTTTTAACAAGGAGACGCTATGAATTTATATTTTATTGATTTGTTCAGTTTTTATTATATGTTACGTTTTTAATTGTATTTATGATATGTAAGCATTGAATTTTGCCCTGTTAACCACCTTGAGTCACCTACGGGCTGAGAAAGGTGGTAAACAAACAGAGTAAATAAATAACTAAATAAATACATTTTGTGTGCTGAAGGAAGAAAAAAAATATGCCAAACCCTCCAGAATTACACCTTACTTGGAAGAAAGCCCCTTTGGGAATGATAGAGATGACTTCCGAATAAATCTGTAGAATTTGCCATACATAAATGTGCAGCAGTTGTTCTAGAATACGGCAAGCTATTATTAACCTGGTTAATTCACCCACTAGTTAACCTGACGCTCACATGACTGTATTTCTTACTGCAGTCACCAGTTGCTACTGACAACCTCACGAAGGTTAAACTGAGCTTCCCCAACGGGTTCTGTGCTGAAGGAAATTGCAATAGCTTTGCAATGAAAATGCTACCTGAAGGAAAGATGGATGAGTAACAACTGTGGAATTATTACAGGAAAATACGCTGTTAAGGGAAGACATCGCAAAGGCTTTCATGGCCGGAATCACTGGGTTGCTGTGAGTTTTCCGGACTATATGGCCATGTTCCAGAAGCATTCTCTCCTGACGTTTCACCCACATCTATGACAGGCATCCTCAGAGGTTGTGAGGTCTGTTGGAAACTAGGCAAGTGGGATTTATATAGCTGTGGAATAATGTCCAGGGTGGGAGAAAGAACTCTTGTCTGTTTGAGGCAGGTGTGAATGTTGCAATTGGCCACCTTGATTAGCATTTAATGGCCTTGCAGCTCTAAAGCCTGACTACTTCCTGCCTGGGGGAATCATAGAATCATAAATCATAGAGTTGGAAGAGACGTCATGGGCCATCTAGTCCAACCCCATTCTGCCAAGAAGCAGGAATATTGCATTCAAATCACCCCTGACAGATGGCCATCCAGCCTCTGTTTAAAAGCTTCCAAAGAAGGAGCCTCCACCACACTCCGGGGCAGAGAGTTCCACTGCTGAACAGCTCTCACAATCAGGAAGTTCCTCCCTCATGTTCAGACGGAATCTCCTCTCTTGTAGTTTGAAGCCATTGTTCCGCGTCCTAATCTGCAAGGAAGCGGAAAACAAGCTTGCTCCCTCCTCCCTGTGACTTCCTCTCACATATTTATACATGGCTATCATATCTCCTGTCAGCCTTCTCTTCTTCAGGCTAAACATGCCCAGCTCCTTAAGCCGCTCCTCATAAGGCTTGTTCTCCAGACCTTGATCATTTTAGTCGTCCTCCTCTGGACACATTCCAGCTTGTTGGGAGGTGTTAGCTGGCTCTGATTGCTTCTTGTCTGGAATTCCCCGGTTTTCTGAGTGTTTTCTTTTTATTTGCTGCCCTGATTTTAGCATGTGGGCAATTTCAACACAAAGGAGGAAACCATGAAAATGAACAAAATCTGGCTACCAGTATTTTTTAAAAAATTCTAAAATCAGGACAGTAAATAAAGAACACTAGAAAACAGGGGAATTACAGACAGGAAACAACCAAGGCCAGCTAACACCTCCCAACAAAGGATTACCCCAGGCACACAGCCTCGCAACCTCGGAGGATGCCTGCCATAGATGTGGGTGAAACATCAGGAGAGAATGCTTCTAGAACATGGTCATACAGCCCAGAAAACTCACAGCAACCAAAGGAAAGACACTGTTTGTCTGACAAGGACTCAAGAGCTAACATTGATAGAATACTACAATATTGTGGATGAGGGTGCAGGCAGCCATCTTGATAATTTGGCCTTCAAGTTACCCCTAAAGGTATTGGGGGACTTCTGCCTTTCCTTTCTATGTCACCTGGTTTCTTTCAAGCAAGAGCAAGTTGCATTCTAGCCAGGGAAGGTGAATCACGGAAGCCTGACCATGCAGACATATGGCTACTGAAGGACGCCTCTCTCTCCCTCTCTCTCGACTTGCAGTTAGTGCAGAATGCCAAAAATAGATATTTATCTGGTACAGTATCTCGATTAGTGGGCTTGGGGAGTGTAGTGTGCCAACGCCTACTATTTTGGTTACAGCCTAGTGAACCTGCAAGCATCCTTGTGTGTCGCTGTGACGGTGACAGCTTGTATGATGGAGGAGCACCTCCTCAATGCCGGTGGGACTCAACAATTGGTTTGTTTTGAATGCCTCCTACGTCAGTTTGTGCCCACTGTTGTGATTACAGGCTGCCCACGCACAAGGACAGGTTCACTAGGACACAACCAAGATACTGGGAGGCGTATAATAGATGTAGGAGGCATTCCAAACAAACTCATTGTTGTAGCATTTTGGGAATATGCTACTCCATCATAAAATCTTCCATCCTCACACCTCCTTGGAAGGAAGCTCCATTGAAGCCAACCAAGTACTGGGGATAATTGCTTCCCAAGCACAGAGAAACATTGAACCCAATCTCCCAGTTCCTCCATCCTCCCCCAGTTTGGAGACAGGTTCAGAAAAAAAAAGAAAGGCAGACAAGGGCTGGAATTGATTTGCCTTCAAGTAAATAGGTATCAATGGAGCTTCCTTTCAAGTAGGGCTGAGGACCATATTATTTCATAAATGCAGAGCAGAGTTGAACCCATTCTTCCAGTCCTTCCAGTCTCCCCCAGTTTGGAGACACCAATGATTAGTTTTGGAAAGGAAAATGGGCAAATACTGGAATTGAATTGGCATCAAAGGGCTCCCTTCCAAGCGAGTGGGGCTTTATCTATGGGGTCTCCTTCCAAGTATTATTGGGGATCATATTGTTCTTCCAACCTGGTCTCCCAGTCCTTCCAACCTCCGCCAGTTTGGAGATACCAGTTATTGATTTGGAGAAGGAAAGGAGAAAGAACTAGGATTGATTTGGTTTCAATGGTCTTCCTTTCAAGCAGGTGGGATTGGATCTATGGGGCCTCCTTCTAAGTAGGGTTGGGACCCCATTGTTCATCAAGTACAGAGCAAAGAGGGACCTGATCTTCCAGTCCCTCCAGCCTCCCCCAGTTTGGAGACACCAGTTGTTGATTTGGGGAAGGAAATGGAGCAATGAATTGATTCATTTGATTGCAAGGGTCTTCCTTTCAAGTGGCTGGGACTGTATCTATGGGGCCACCTTCCAAGGAAGGTTGGGGACAATATTGTTTCACTGACCTGATCTCCCAGTCCCTCCAACCTCCCTCAGTATGGAGATAGCAGCTGATTCACTCAGGAAAGGAAAAGGGGCAAGGACTGGGGTTGATTTGGTTTCAAGGGGGCTCCCTTCCAAGTAGGGTGGGGGACCCCATTGTTCCTCAGCCACAGAATAGTGAGGGACTTGTTCTTCCAGTCCCTTCAGCCTCCCCCAGTTTGGAGACACCAGTTGTTGATTTGGGGAAAGAAAGGGGGCAAAGACTGGGCTTGATTTGGTTCAAGGGGTCTTCCTTCCAAGTGGATGGAACTGTATCTATGGGGCCTCCTTCCAAGTAGGGTTAGGACCATAGTGCTCCTCCAACCTGATATCCCAGTCCCTCCAACCTCCCCCAGTTTGGTGATATCACTTGATTCATTCAGGAAAGCAAAAGGGGCAAGGACTGGGATTGATTTGGTTTCAAGGAGATGTCCTTCCAAGGAGGTGGGGTGGCACCAATAGGGCTTCCTTCCAAGTTGGGTTGGGGACCTCATTTTTCCTCAAGCACAGAAAATTGAGAGACCTGATTGCCCAGTCCCTCCAGCCTCCCCCAGTTTGGAGACACCAGTTATTGATCTGGGGAAGGAAAAGGGGGAAGGACTGGGACTAATTTGGTTTCAAGGGTCTTCCTTTCAAGTGGGTGGAACTGTATCTCTGGGGCCCCTTTCCAAGAAGGATTGGGACCATATTGTTCCTTCAACGTGGCCTCCCAGTTCCTCCAACCTCCCCCAGTTTGGTGATACCAGTTGATTCATTCAGGAAAGGAAGAGGGGCAAGGATTGGGTTTGATTTGGTTTCAAGGGGTCTTCCTACCAAGTGGATGGGACTGTATCTATGGGGCCTCTTTCCAAGAAGGGTTGGGGACCATATCTTTCCTTCAACATGGCCTCCCAGTTCCTCCAACCTCCCCCAGTTTGGTGATACCAGTTGATTCGTTCAGGAAAAGACGAGGAGCAAGGATTGGGTTTGATTTGGTTTCAAGGGGTCTTCCTACCAAGTGTATGGGACTGTATCTCTGGGGCCTCTTTCCAAGAAGGGTTGGGGGCCATATTGTTCCTTCAACATGGTCTCCCAGTCCCTCCAACCTCCCCCAGTTTGGTGATACCAGCTGATTCGTTCAGGAAAAGAAGAGGGGCAAGGATTGGGTTTGATTTGGTTTCAAGGCATCTTCCTTCCAAGTGGATGGGACTGTATCTATGGGGCCTTTTCCCAAGAAGGGTTGAGGACCATATTGTTCCTTCAATATGGTCTCCCAGTCCCTCCAACCTCCCCCAGTTTGGTGATACCAGTTATTGATTTAGAGAAGGAAAAGAGACAAAGACTGGGGCTGAATTGGTTTCAAGGAGGCGCCCTTCCAAGGAGGTAGGATGGCACCAATGGGGCTTCCTTCCAAGTTGGGTTGGGGACCCCATTGTTCTTCAAGCCCAGAGCAATGAGGGACCTGGTCACCCAGTCCCTCCAACCTCCCCCAGTTTGGTGATACAAGCTGATTCGTTCAGGAAAAGAAGAGGGGAAAGGACTAGGCTTGATTTGGTTTCAAGGAGGTGGCATGGCATCAATGAGGCTTCCTTCCATGTTAGGTTGGGGACCCCATTGATCTTCAAGCCCAGAGCAATGAGGGACCTGGTCACTCAGTCCCTCCAGCCTCCCCCGGTTTGGTGATACCAGTTGATTCATTCAGGAAAGCAAAAGAGGCAAGGACTGGGCTTGATTGGGTTTCAAGGAGGTGGCATTGCATCAATGGGGCTTCCTTCCATGTTAGGTTGGGGACCTCTGAGCAGAACCCAACCCAGTCTCCCAGTCCCCCCCCCCCCCCCCAGTGTACAGATTCAGGGAAGGCGAAGGCGCCCCACCAAGACAAAGGAAGCCTTGCTTGGTAGTGGCTGGAGCTCACCTGCTGCATGGTAAGAGAGTCAGCCTGGCAACCACCCTGGGGCCACCACATCCAGGCCAAGGTCAGGGCACCCTGTTGCATCCGGACCTCCCCCCAACGCCACCCCATTGAGAAGAATACAGACCCGATGCCTCCTCCGGCTTGGCCCCCATCCTGCCGAAGTCCCACGGTCTCGGGGTCTGGAACTACCACCAGGAAGCCAGGCTCCAGCCGGGGGTCTTTCCTTCTTCCTCTTCTCCTCCTCCTCCTCCTCTTCCCAGGCAGAGCATCCTCTTCCTCCGGGTGTGGACGCGGGTTAGAGGCGTTCCTCCAGCCGGGTCAGAGCCATTGCAAGGAGAAGGGGGGGGGGGGCGCAGGTTGGAAGGAAGGAAAGGCGTCCTCTTCCTTCTCCTGGAGATCAAGTCAAGGCACGAAGGAAGGCTGGGGTGGGGTCTCTCTCTCTCTCTCTCTCTCTCTCTCTCAGCCTCCTGGCGTGCGTGGCATCCGCAAAAACTCTCCTCCGGTTGCAGCAGATGGAGGGATCTGGGCTTGCCTGCGACGCAGGTGGGGGATCCGACCCCCTCCCTGCCTCCTCCTTCCTCCCTTCCTTCCCTCCCAAGGGAGACCCGCTTGCCTTCCCGGCCCGAGGACGTGGGAGGGGCGTTTCTGGCGTGGGGAGCCCGAGCCCACGCTTCCCACCTTGGCCAACAAAGCGCAGGGAGGGGCCGGGCACGGGGAGGCGCCTTCGCCCCTGGAAGACACCCACGCGCCACGAAACCAGCCGGGTTTGGAGCTCCAGCAGGTTGCCTGGAGAGGAAGGAAGGAAGGAAGGCAGGGGAGACCATTGGAGCATCTCTCTCTCTCCCTCTCTCTCTCTCTCTCTTTCTCTCTCCATCTATTTAATCTATCTATCTATTAATCTATCTAGTCTGACTGTCTATCTGTCTGTATGATATTATACTTATATATTTATATTACATGTCATATTACTCATAATATTACAATATAATTGGTAAGTACAATATAGCAACATTTAAAACTGATATTGTACTATGCCAATAATATAATATATTGTATGTATATATACCTTGTAAGCCACTCTGAGTCCCCTTCGGGGTGAGAAGGGCAGCATAGAAATGTCGTAAATAAATAGAATTACACACATAGAGACACAGACACAAGCTATATGTGTGTATATGTCTATAGATCATTTCCGCTACCTTGGCAGCCACCTCTCCACCAAAGTCAACATCGACACCGAAATACAACACCGCCTGAGCTCTGCGAGTGCAGCATTTTTCCAAATGAAGCAGAGAGTGTTTGAGGACCGGGACATCCGTAGGGATACCAAGGTGCTTGTTTATAGAGCTATTGTACTCCCAATCCTGCTATATGCCTGCAAAACGTGGACTGTCTACAGACATCATACGCAACTCCTGGAACGATTCCATCAGTTCTGCCTCTGAAAAAGCCTGCAAATCTCTTGGGAAGACAGGCGGATGAATGTCAGCGTGCTGGAAGAAGCAAAGACCACTAGCATTAAAGCGATGGACCTCCGCCACCAACTCCGCTGGGCCGGCCACGTTGTCCGGATGCCCAACCACCGTCTTCCAAAGCAGTTGCTCTACTTCTAACTCAAGAACGGAAAACGGAATGTTGGAGGACAGGAAAAGAGATTGAAAGATGGGCTCAAAGCCAGCCTTAAAAACTCTGGCATAGACACTGAGAACTGGGAAGCCCTGGCCCTTGACCACTCCTGCTGGAGGTCAGCTGTGACCAGCAGTGCTGCAGAATCTGAAGAGGCACGAATGGAGGGCAAAAAAGAGAAACGTGCCAAGAGGAAGGCGCGTCAAGCCAACCCCGACCGAGACCGCCTTCCACCTGGAAACCAATGCCCTCACTGCGGAAGAAGATGCAGAGCAAGAATAGGGCTCCACAGCCACATACGGACCCACAAGAACACTGGAAGACAATCATCCTCGGAAAGCGGAAAGTAAGTAAGTAAGTAAGTATAGACAGACACACACACATACTTATATACATAATATATACTCCCATTTTTCCATACAGAATATATATACTAGGTGTGTGTGTATCTACACAAACTCACAAGCTAGCTAGCTAGATAATTCTCTCTCTCTCTCTCTCTCTCTCTATATATATATATATATATAAGCACACACAAGCTATACACACACAAGCTACACACATACACACCTAGTATATATTCTGTATGGAATAATGGGAGTATATATTATGTATATATGTGTACACACACATATACATATACACACACATAAAGCTTGTGTTTGTGTGTGTGTATATATATCTACATACACAAACACACAAGCTACACACACAAACACACCTAGTATATATTCTGTATGGAATAATGGGAGTATATATTATGTATATATGTGTGTGTGTGTGTATTTATCTATATACATATACACACATATAGCTTGTGTCTGTGTCTCTATGTGTGTGTGTGTCTATATATATATACATACACACACAAACACACAAGCTATACACAAACAAGCTACACACACACCTAGTATATATTCTGTATGGAATAATGGGAGTGTATATTATGTATATATGTGTACACAGACATATACGTATACACACATAAAGCTTGTGTTTGTGTGTGTGTATATATATCTACATACACAAACACACAAGCTACACACACACCTAGCATATATTCTGTATGGAATAATGGGAGTACATATTATATATGTGTGTGTGTTTGTCTATATACATACACACACACATAAAGTTGGTGTTTGTGTGTGTGTGTGTGTATATATATATATATATATATATATATATATATATATAAACAAAAACACACAAACTACACACACACAAGCTATCTATCTATATACACACACATGTACACACACACACAAGCTTTATAGATAGAAAGGAACAGCCAGGCTAAGGTAAACAGCTAGGCTAGACATTAAGTCTAGTCGTGTCCAACTCTGGGGGTTGGTGTTCATCTCCATTTCTAAGCCAAAGAGCCGGTATTGTTTGTAGTAACCTCCAAGGCCATGTGGCCAGCATCACTGCATGGAGTGCCGTTACCTTACCACAGAAGTGGTATCTATTGATCTTCTCACACTTGCATTTTTTTGAACTGCTAGGTTGGCAGAAGCTGGGAGCTCATCCTACTGCCCAGATTCCAACCACCAAATTCACCAGCTCAGCGGTTTAACCTGCTGCACTATTTATTTATTTATTTATTTACTGTACTTATACTCCACCTTTCTCACCCCCCAAGGGAGACTCAGGGCGGCTTACAAACTATGGCAATAATTCATTGCTAGATGCAGATAATAACAATATCAATAAAACACCGTATTATAAAATTGTAAAAAAGACACATCTATATATATATAAATGCTCTGTGCATAATGAGTACCTTAAAAACAAAAGAACCAATGAATGAAATTACACCAAATGTGGCAACAAAGCGTCTCACTACATAAGGAATGACCATCACTCAAAAAAATATGATTTTGTCATTTGGGAGTTGTAGTTGCTGGGATTTATAGTTCACCTATAATCAAAGAGCATTCTGAACTCCACCAATGATGGAATTGAACCAAACTTGGCACGCAGAACTCCCATGACCAACAGATAATACTGGAAGGGTTTAGTGGGCATTGACCTTGAGTTTGGGAGTTGTAGTTCACCTACATCCAGAGAGCACTGTGGACTCAAACAATGATGGATCTGGACCAAACTTGGCACAAGCACTCAATACGCCCAAATATGAACACAGATGGAGTTTGGAGGAAATAGACATTGACATTTGGGAGTTGTAGTCACTGGGATTCACAGTTCACCTACAATCAAAGAGCATTCTGAACCCCACAAATGACAGAATCGGGGCAAACTTTCCACACAGAACCCCCACGACCAACAGAAAATACTTAAGGCCATCCAGTCCAGGTCCCTTCACCAGGGCAAGAAAACGTAATCAAACCCCTCCTGACAAAGAGCCATCCAGCCATAGAGATAGATAGATAGATATGATTCACACACATAGAGAGAGATAGTATTATATATTTGAAAGGGACCCTTAAAGAAGGACAATGATATGTTGCATGTTCCAGGGTGGACAAACTAGACAATCTCTACATCAACACTGACAAAGAAACAGCAGAAATACTCTTTACCCACAAGCCTAAAGAAATTACATAGAAACCAACACTTTCTCATTACTTTATTTTCCAGATCACTAGGCTGGGCCACAGCAATGCATGGCAGGGGATGGCTAGTATCAATTAAAATAGTCTTTCAAATGATTAAAACATATGAAATCATACCAAACATATCAAACTTACATTACATTGAAGCATGATTACAGGTCTTACTGTCCAGTGACTTAAATGGCCAAAACCTTGATAAATAGCAGCTCAACACCCTCAAAACATTATCACACACTGTCCATCCCCACCTAAAATTAGTCCAATCCACTCCACACCCAATTGTCCTTAAGGAATGTCCAATGGGTTGATAAAAGATTCCCAGAAAGGTATCCAGCTGGTCCAGTCTATTTAGCCTGGGCCAGTCCATTTGATCCATTTGGACCAGTCCATTTGGTCCAGAAGGGAGGAGGTGGTTTGCTAATAATAATAATAATAATAATAATAATAATAATAATAATAATAAACTTTATTTGTACCCCCTCCATCTCCCCGATGGGGACTCGGTGTGGCTTACATGAGGCCAAGCCCAAAACAACAATTACATGAAATAAAACAAAACCGAAAACGCAAGTAATAAACAATAATAATGCAATTACATAAAACAAAAGACAACATAGCTATATAAAATTACAATAATCACAATAAACACAATCTCGGTAACATGGGCGAGCTACATGTAATGGATAAAACAAAATTGGGTAGAAACAGATTAAAAACTCAGGCGAGATAAACATGAGATAAACAAAGACAGATTTGCGGAGGAGAGCTTGTTTTAGTGGAGGTTGTGGAGCAAAACTTCAAAAAGTTCAAACATTGAGCCACAGCATCTCCTGTGTGGAAGGGGCGATAGATCAGGTTATTGTTATGGTCCATTATTTATTAACAATAAAAGACACATAAATCAAAAAATAGACACTAATTGCTGTCCTAAAACTCCTCTAATGGTTAACTAAAATAAATGAAAACACAATTAAAACTTGATTAAATAATAAATTTGGTAAAATGGGATTAAATTACAAGATGAAAGCAGGGGGAGTCGAGTGAGGAATGAAAAAGAATCAGTCTGGGAATGTAGATAAGTTCATCGTCATAAGGGACCCAATTTTGTGAGATAAAAGAGATTTCTCAGGTGAGCAATCTCTCACATGAGACCAAAGGAGGTGAGAGAAATCAACTTCTGGAAGGAAAATCTACACTTGGAAGAGTTATTATTGGGGGTGGGGAGGGTCTCCACTGAAGTAATAGCACCAGTCATTGTTTCCACAACTAACCAAAGTTGTCAAAATTCAATTCTTACAGGGACAAGAAGTGAGGTGAAATCTTCTGAACGGGCACAGACAGGAAAACAAACACCACGGGGTGTTCACCCCTCCCTATGCTATCCAAGGCTTATATCTATGTCTAAGTCTGGAGTTACACTTTACAAATGTCCCTGTTAACTTACAAACAAATTCAACTTAAGAGCAAACCTACCGAACCTATCTTGTTTGTAACTTGGGGACTGCCAGTATCTGTGTGTATGCTATA